CAGTCCACACACATGTAGACCCCAGTGCCCCCTGCGGGCAGAGCAGGCAATGACGGTGAGAAGGAGGGGAGGTGCTGGTACTGTCAGTGAGGAGGGTGAGGAACCGTGGCTGAGCTGCACAATCACCCACAGGGGATGATGGCATCTGTGCCCTGAGACTAGATGGCATCTGTGCTCCCTGAGACTAAAGGCTCCCTAAGGAAAAGCGTGGGTCTCTGCACCTTCCAGCCAGGGGTTGAGCCTGAGCTATTGCACCTTCAAGGGGTTGAGGAGCTCAGATTCCTCTCAGGAGTCAGGGCTGGGAGCAGCAGTGGCAGCTTGGCAGATGAGTGTGGGCAGGAAACATTCAGGGCAGTTACCATGGGGAGTTGGTGCTGGGCCACATGTGTGGCTCTGAGGTCCTCTCTAGTCCCAGTCCAGGCTGTGGCCGCTCTGTTCTTTGGGGCCATGGTTAGTGGGACATGGACCAAGCTCTGTGGCATGAGTTCCCGGATAGGTCATGCCCTGGAGCATGAGCTCCAAGAAAACTAGTGACTCAGGCAGGTGCAAGCTAGTCCACTGTAATGAGGTGCTCCAGCCACTGACCTGCCCAGGGAAGGAGAGGAGCTCCCTCTGCAGAATCTCTTCTTGCCCTGCAGGAGGGGTCACTGGGTGCTGAGCCACGTGGTCCTGTTGGGGATTGCAAGTCTGGTGAAGTTTAACGACTAAAGAAGTTTGTAGATATGTATCAATCTAGGGAGAGAACATGGCCCAGATCTTTCCTTAGTGGGCAAACATCCACCCTGGTCTTGGCCAGTGTGTCTCAGTGGTAAGCGTCAGCCCACACACCTGAAGGGTGGTGAATGAGATTCCAGATCACAGGCACATACCTGGGTTGCCAGTTCAATACCCGGCACCCACCAACTCATATGGGAGAGGCAACTAGTCAGTCTGTCTCTCTCACATCCGTGTTTCTTCCTCCCTCTCTCATTCCCCCACCCATTACAGTCTCTCCAAAAACCATGGGGAAACATCCTGGGGTGAGGAACAACAATAGCAAAAAGAACCACCCACCCTGCTGCGCTGAGATGGACCCTCCCTCTGCGCAGCCCACCCTCCTATTACAGTCTCTCCAAAAACCATGGGGAAACATCTTGGGGTGAGGAACAACATCAACAAAAAGAACCATCCACTCTGCTGCGCTGAGATGGACCCTCCCTCTACACAGCCCACCCTCCTAACACTGTCCTGCCGCTGCCTGGGATGCTCCCCTGCAGCTGGGGACGCTCTGTCTTTCCCAGGAGTTGACAGATGGGAGTCCGAGGCAAGGCCCCGTGTCTGCCTGAGAGGAGCTGCCCGGGGCACTTCTGTCTCCATCCAGAGGTCTCTTCAGCCTGCTCGTCCCCATCCCCCAGGCTGAGTCCCTTCTGCCCCTGCTCTTCCAAACCGAGGTGATCCCCATGGGGGGTCCTCCCAGGGATGGGTGAGGTGAAGGGACAGTTCACAGAACCCCAGTTTGAGCGAAGGTGGGGAAATGGGAGGACTCTGGAAAGGGATGAGAGGATGGGTGCTTGTGGAGGAGAGCTGAGGGGGAAGAATCTTAGGCCCCTAAGCCTCCCTTAGGAATGAGGGACTGGATACCCCTGGGGAGGGCTTA